TGCTTGGGAGTTGGTAAGATACATGTGTTCCCTGTTTTCATCAGCAAAATTGACGACGACATCTTGCATCAACTATGGCTAAACTATTATCCATCAACTACTACGGTTATTCTTGCTGTTTCGTGCTAAGATGTAGCTTTAGACAAGCGGACAGGAACTGTCTACAAAGTTCACGAGTGTTTCTTCAAACCGCTTATGTGGTGGACTAGCCCACAACCAGCGCCCTCTGAAACGTCTCTTTTGTGTCAGTGTGACAACAACTGTTGAAACCCGGGATCGCAAGCTAGAGCATTCAGAGCATACGAAGTAGAAGTCGGAGAACGATTTCACGAAGCGAACGCCATGTGTCAAGAAATGCACCACTTAATTTACGCATTTACAATCGCCAATCTGGTGATAATACTTGTAAGCATCAATCCTGTGCACACATTCCGAGGCACCCTTCAACCTTCCACGGGGAAACGCCCAATCCAACCAGTAACGGAGGCGGCTGTGGCTGAGCAAATTCTAGTCTCCTACTCTCCCTCCGCGACAAAGTAACCACACTCGCGTTCTTGGGTAACACCAGTGCCGAAATCACCGTTCTGCTATGCAGTATAGAAAAATGTCACCTTCCTTCCACAGGCATTTCTCTGTAGTGCTTAACAACAATAAAGTCCTAACCAATGGCCAAAACTCCTCACACTTAATCACCGGTGAATTCCACCCTACGTCTTTCTAATCGCAGACATCCAGTGTCCTATCAATTGTGTTAATTTCCCCACAAAGGTTGGTCTGTTAGTGGACCTGGGCAGTAGGAGGTTTCGTGACAGCTCCACGTCTTTCACTGTCCAAGTTAGAGACATCTCGATAAGCTTGCTCGGTCTTCTACTGGCACTACCTATCGATAACGTATTCACTGATTCGTTTCTCCAGTTTCCTTTGCTTCACCAGTCGTTCAGCGCATTTCTAGACAGTAAGCACGAGATAAAGCACCATATCGTCAGGAAAGAACCTCCGGTCAATACCCGATCTCGACGTCTACCGCCAGACAAACTCGCCAACGCCAAGGCCGAGTTCGAACGCACGCTACGTCTCTAGCAATCTTTCAACCTTCCTACCGCCCATGACCATTTCCTTTCCACACGTTCTCTAAAATGTCGGACGTGGACTAGCGACTCTTCGGAGACTACTGTGCACTGAGAATCGCTACTGTACCGGACAGGTACCCGGTCCTGAATATTCACGGTTTCTTCGGCGGTTTGAAGGGAAAATCATTTTTTCCTGTCGCCGCTTAAGAGATAATTAAAAGTCCATAAATACACCATATGGTCGATACGAATTTCTCCGCATGCCTGCCGGCCAGCGAAAGGCTGCGCAGGCTTTTCAACGTTTTATTGACCAAGTCCCCAGAGGTCTTGCATTCGTCTTCTCAAGCATCGACGTTGTACTCGCAGTCACCTTGAGTAGTAAAGAACGTATATTTCATCTTCGCCTAACATTTGATCGTCCAGCTCATTTCGGCATCACGAGGAACTCCGAAAAATGAGTCTTTGGCCAATCGTTTTCTAAGTTATTTTTGCCACAGAATCGATCAGGACGGTATCGGCACGCTTCATGGAAAGACAAAAGCAGTTGTTTAGAATCAGAGGCCACAAACTTTTAAATGCTTACGCTGTGACCTTGAGTTGAGTAGCCATTACCGCCGCTTTATTCAAAAATGCTTTAGGCTCCTTCAGGCTTTAACAGATCTGCCCAATGGCGAGTCTCCGGACTTTGAAGGAACTGCAGAAGTAATAGCAGCATACAACCAGAGCACAAACGCGCATTCCAAAGCTAATGCGCTTAATGGCTTGAGAAAATATGTGATCATCTCTCTCATTCTTAAAACTAGTACATCGCCAAATTCTGCTGCTGCTGTTCCTCAGCAGGTGATGGACGTTCAAGCTGTGCCTTTGTCTTTCTCCTCTAGAATGCTGCAACCTTCTCCAAAGTGAAACATTGCGTTCGGCAGAGCATATTGGCCATTTAGATCGCCATTAAACACCCTCGCCATTTGCCTGAAGGACGCTCAGTTACCACCCTCATGAAACTTAGGCAATTTGTTTCTGCATTTTGTGATTCATCCGATGGCTTTCCATCTCGTCATTCGTCAATTAGGTTGGATATCAAGTACATCAACGACATTCGGAGCATCGGTGCAGCTCCCGATGTTGTAACTGACATCGACTCGCATTGGTCTTCACGAGATTTCGCATTAAGTAACTGATTTAAATGTACCGCTGCCCATTTAAAAGGGAACCCGAGTTTGAGAAATTAAAATAAAAGTCTTATTAAACTTTCTTAACTTCTTGTTTATAACTTGGACTATCAAACTTACCGTGAGATATCCACCGCAACAGTATCGACGAGTAACGCTTGACTATTTGCATGAGATGACGCGTCCAAGCATCCGCGACACCACCAAGCTTATCATATATCACTACATCTGGCCCAACATACGAATTGAAATCTAGAGGCAGGTAAAACACCGCATTACTTGCCAGCATAGCAAGATACATCGCCACACGAGTATTATTCTTGGAACAAGTTTCCGCCCGCTGCTTGAATCACAAATGTCCATATCGGCATCGTTGGGCCTCTGCCGCTATTCAAAGGTTTTAATTACGCATTGGCATGTGTCGGTCGTTACATACCTTGGCCACGCGCGTGCCTCTACAAGACGTCTCAGCCGAGACCGTTGCAAAACCTTTATCAAAAGTTGGATATCCGTGTTTCGCACCACGGCCACTGTCAATACAGAGTGAGAAGCTCAGTTAAATTCTGCCATTTGCGAGACTTTAAACTTATGTTCGGTCATCCTCATTAGAGCGCGGCAGCGTATCATCCGTCTGCTAACGGTTTATTCGATCGTTTACATAGCTAGTTCAAGACCACTATTACTGCGACGCAGTCGAATACCCAATGGTCAGAGTTTCAACCGATCAATTTCATCCGTAGCTGAAACCCTGTAAGAAAAACATATCGGTGCATATTTGGATTGTGGAATACCTGCCGTGTGTCTAGATCGGGACACGCAATTTCGATTGAGGCCGTAGGTGCTTTGAGGCAAACCAATACCATTTCCATCACTGGAAAAGCATCGGAAGCAGAGAGATTCATAGCCGCAGTTTCCTAACACTGCACTCATCGAACCACCGGTTTCGTCCTGATGTGGACTCGTCAGAGCTCAAGATATCACCGCATAAATAAGCCGCATTTTTAAGTGGAGGTCGATCACCGCGTCCAGGCTCACTGGCCCGCTTTTAGGGTACAGATCCAACGGGCTTTGTAAAGCGTAAAAGAGAGAAAACGGGAAGAAAAAATCAGCATCGTTCAATAAACGAGCAAAAAATCAGGAAAACCTTTTATGCGACATGGAACGAGACACGCAAAGAAAGGCCTGAAAAAGAAGTGGCACAGCAGAGCAAGCTATCGATAAAAATTCAACGTAAAATAAAACATTCACAAGAGAAATAATCACCTTCCGTCACAAAAATAAATATTTGCAAACAGGAAGGATGCTGATTTAAAAAGTTTGATGGAACAAATATGTTAACAAAGGAAAATCCCTCATGTGGGCAAAAAATAAAAAAATCTACGGAAGAAAAGCACTATCGTCTGGGTCTCCGAGTTGTCTTTGTTGGACTAAATACAACTGTCCTCATACTCAAAAGCAGATGTAGCATCGGAAGTGTGGAGATATCTGGGCTTGCGGCAATAATCATCGAAAGTAAGGTGATCCACTAAATGTGGAGGTAAATCTTGGATTTATATTCCTGGAATGAGATGTATTTCGGAAGAATTCCCGTGCGGTAACATTTCGAAATCCACTTGGATTAATAAAAATGGTTGAACCTGGTTGTTCGGACCGTTTGTCCATGTCAACAAAGCAGCTCAAGTAATTTATAGCTGTAAGCGTCAATAAGGCTTAGAAGATAGTCGAACGACGCGTTGTTAACCAAACTGTGGCAACCCCACCGGTAACGGCATGAAAAGGCCATAGTTGTTGAACTACGGTGTTCTGTTACAAGAATACAACATAATAATTACAAAATACCAACGATATCCTCACAAAATAGGTACACAATGTGCGAGCATTACAACGAGAAACAATTTGCTGGTTCAAGCACAATGCAGACTAAAGCCAAACACACTGGATGTATAATGGCCTCGCCCGGACGACTCAGGACGCAGGCAGTCTGTAACCCAATCACAAAAGGACAATACCATTTCCGAGTCAAGTTAGTTAATAGAGGAAGCAAATTGGTTCGTAAGCATTTTCAACTTGGTTCGTAAGCATTTTCAACTTGGTTCATAAGCAGTTTCAAGTTGGTGCGTTTCAAATTTTGGCTAAGACGCACACACGCACCGACGAGTAGCTTCCTCATTGGTTAGACACCGTCGGCCAACAGGATGCCGTGTGTCACTATAGAGCATGTGTTCTCAAACGTTTCGGCACGTGCACCCATTTTTAGTGTAACTAAGCACGACGGATCCCTGAGCTTTCCTTCTGCACAGAACTAGGCTTTAATAACCTAAGAATGAGGTGGAGTTCATCGCTGCACACTGAATTTGCACAATTGTTCCTTTATGTTGGCAAAAGTGAAGGCTATTGAACTTACATGCAAATGCAACTATATTAAGGCCTGTAGCGCCCAAAAAGATAACTCTTATCTTTCGTGTACAATTTACTTGTTGACCGATTGTACATTACTCCTTCTTGTTTTAATCTTACAACCGGCTCGACACACAACTGCCTTGTAAGTTCCCGCGCTCACGTGTACGCTCTTGCCTCGCTTCATCCGTCCGTTTCTTGTTGTAGTCCCATCGAATACAGTCCGCTGTGTCCGACTCCAATTGCCTTCTGATATCCGCGCTTAATTCCGCGCACCGTCTCGGACTAGTATTAACTAGTCCTACAAATTGGTGACCCCGATTCGCACGCGCGAATTCAACATTTTTTCTCGTTTGTATTTTTTGGTGAGTTCGTTCCTTTTTCTCGATTATATACCTATATTCATTTGTTTCTTGCGTAATTTTGGTACTTTTATCGTATTTTGTTCGTTCTTTACCTTTCGACTCACATTTCGAGAGTTGCATCTGAGTCGTTTCACAGCGTAACCATGCTTCCTTTGGCTGTTCCAAGTTTCATGGAACACAGTCCAGAAGTTTGGTTTAAGATATTCGAGATCGAGCTAGAAAATAAGGGCATAACGGCGGACCGTCCAAGGTACAATCAGCTCGTCCCACGCCTTCCTCCGTCGGTAGTGACGCTGATTGAGGACATTCTACTCTGCCCATCGAATGAGGCAAAGTATGAAACGATGAAGCAAGCGATTTTGAAAGAGTTACGACCCAGCGCACGAACACGATTTGAGCAGCTCAATGGTCTCAAGCTTGGAGATCGCAAGCCGTCGACATTGCTCCGCGAACTTCAGCGCATCGCTGGTCCCTTATTCTTGAGCGAAGAAGGGATAAAGGAGCTGTGGTTTGCACGTCTCCCAGAGCCATTGCCGGTAATGCTGTCCATGTTTATAGATGCACCCTTGAAAGACTTAGCTACCAAGGCAGACGCTGCGTTCGAACGTTTTCCGCAGCAGACGACCAGTAACTCCGGTGACGTATTCTCACCGATGAAAACCGAATCTAATGTTTGTTCCCAGTCGCTAGACCGATCTGACTCTAAAGACGAGGAAATTGCGCTACTTCGCAGCAGGATAGCAGCAATGAAGGCTTCGAAGCAGCGTGTGCCACGGTCAAATGCTGACCACGTTTTGGCTACCGTTCATTGCGGCTCGTCTGTGCCTGCACCGAGTACGTCACGTTCGGCACGAAAGCGCCACATTTTCCTTACAAGTTCTCAGTCAGATAATGTCAAGCCCGTCGAAGAAGTATGTTGGTATCACCGCCAATACGGTGGAAGAGCTAGACGTTGTCGGGCTCCCTGCATTAGGCACGACCCAGGGAAAACGAATAGCCCGCATACTAGCACTACAAACGTATCATGCAATAACCAAGCAAACCGACTGTTTTACGTTAAGGATCGACGTTCTTCCATCACGTTCCTCATCGACACGGGAGCGGAAGTCAGCGTCATCCCAGCGACCGCTAGCGACAAGCACTCGAAGCCTACGTACAATTTGCGTGCGGCCAACGGTTCTCCGATAGCTTCATTCGGTCAGCGCATGATGAACCTAGACCTCAATCTTCGCCGAGATTTTCAGTGGGTCTTCATGGTTGCGTCTGTACCCTTCGCGATTATCGGTATCGACTTCCTCCGACATTTTGGGTTGCTTGTTGATGCTGGTCGCCACAGACTTTTAGACGATCGTACGAAACTAGGTGTTGATGGTGTCCTTTCAGATGCCCCGATAATCAGCCCTGTATTTCGAATCGCAGACGCACCGTCCGACTACTTGAGCCTCCTCTCCGAATACCCGCGACTGGTTCGACCGGCTGCAGAGCTTCCACCAGTCACAACAGAGGTCGCTCACCACATAGTTACGCGCGGTCAACCAGTTAGCGCACGGCCAAGACGGCTTGCTCCAGACAAACTACGGGCAGCACGAGCCGAATTTGACCACATGCTTCAACTTGGTATCGTCAGACCGTCCAACAGCCCATGGGCGTCGCCTCTGCACATGGTCCCGAAGAAGGTTGTGGGGGACTGGCGTCCTTGCGGCGACTATCGATCCTTGAATACGGTAACCACGCCTGATCGCTATCCGATCCCACACATAGTGGATCTCACCGCCAGTCTGGCGGGTAAAAGTATCTTCAGCAAAATCGACTTGGTACGCGCATACAACCAAATTCCGGTAGCCGAGGCGGACATCGCTAAAACTGCCGTGACGACTCCATTTGGTTTGTTCGAGTTTCTGCGTATGCCATTTGGTCTAAAGAATGCCGCGCAAACTTTTCAGCGTTTCATCGACCAAGTTTGTCGCGGCTTAGACTTCGCTTACGCGTATCTTGACGACATTTTAATCGCAAGCTCTTCACGAGAAGAGCACATACGCCACGTACGAACACTTTTTGATCGTTTATCTCAACACGGGGTGACGATCAACGCAGAAAAGTGTTCGTTTGGTGTCGATTCAGTTAATTTCCTGGGCCATCGTATCTCTTCTGCAGGCGTCGTGCCACTGCAAGATAAAATTCAAGCCATTATCGACTACCCCGAGCCTCATTCTTTCAAACAGCTCAGGCGTTTTGATGGCCTGGTCAACTTTTACCGTCGATTTATACCCAACTGCGCCTCTCTGATGCAACCCCTCACGGACCTTCTCCGAGGGAAACTCAAGACGTTCGAATTTCCTACCGCAGCACGCGCTGCTTTTAAGTCGCTGAAAGAGGCTATCGCCAACATAGCTTCCATAGCGCATCACGATCCGACCGCCCCACTGTCCCTTAGTACTGACGCCTCGGACGTCGCGGTCGGCGCTGTTTTGCAGCAACGCGTAGCCGACACGTGGCAGCCCTTAGCGTTTTTCTCCAAACGCCTACAACCTACCGAATCTCGCTACAGCACGTTCGGTAGAGAACTACTTGCCGTATATCTAGCGATACGTCACTTTCGACACGTCCTAGAAGGCCGCTCCTTTGTCGTCTTCACCGACCACAAACCCCTAACTTACGTGCTCGGCTCGACTACCGACCGATACTCTCCTAGAGAGTCGCGCCACCTTGACTATATCGCTCAGTTTACGACCGATATACGGCATGTCTCAGGTGTGCACAACGCCGTCGCCGATGCACTTTCCCGCATTCAAGCTATCTCCGCTGACGCCGGCACTGCTATCGACTTGGCAGCCATGGCCACAGCGCAACTCAACGACCCTGAGGTTGATCTACTACGCAGGTCTCCCTCATTGGACATACGACCTGTTCCGCTGACATCATCAGACGGCACTATACTGTGCGATTTATCTCTGGGCACGCCGCGCCCAGTCGTCCCACGTGAGTTTCGGCAGACCGTGTTCGACGCGTTGCACGGCTTGTCTCATCCAGGCGTTCGTGCATCGGTTAAACTCGTAACCGCACGATTCGTTTGGCGCAATGTTAATCGGGACGTCCGTACCTGGGCAGCTGCTTGCCTTCCGTGTCAACGCGCGAAGGTGCACAAGCACACGAGAAGCCCATTAGGCACTTTTCCGACGCCAGACGCACGCTTTCATCACGTGCACGTCGACCTCGTAGGTCCTCTGCCGCCTTCCAAAGGCTCGGTATATCTACTGACCTGCATCGATCGATTTACTAGATGGCCTGAGGCCGTCCCTATCCCAAATTGCTCCTCGGAAACAGTAGCGAAAGCTTTTATGGAGCGCTGGGTAGCTCAATACGGCTGTCCCGCCATCGTGACCACCGATCGAGGGTCGCATTTTTCGTCAACGTTTGCCACGTTGCTTAAGGATTTAGGCTGTCGCCACGTTCAGACGACAGCGTATCATCCGGCCGCTAACGGCATGGTGGAGCGTTTTCACCGCCAGTTGAAGGCAGCGCTACGTGCGCACGCAGATCCTTCATGGTCTGAAACGCTTCCCCTCGTTCTCCTAGGTTTAAGAAACACGGTTAAGACTGACTTCGACGCCACACCAGCGCAGCTAGTCTACGGTTGCACGCTGCGGTTGCCCGGACAGCTGGTAGCACCAGCCCCATGTACTTCCACTTTTGACTACGGAAGTTACACTGACCGATTGGCTCACCAGATGCGTGAGCTACGTCCACCCGCTCCTCGATCGCAGAAGACACCAGTGTACGTGCCCGAGAAGCTGTCTACGTGTTCACACGTCCTTCTTCGCGCAGACGGTGTTCGACAGCCTCTTCAGTCGCCGTACATAGGACCCTTCAAGGTGCTGCATCGTGCGAGTAAGGCGTACACTATTGACCGCGGTGGTCGACACGAAGTCGTCACCATCGACCGTCTAAAACCCGCCTTTATGGAAGAAAACCCCTCGCCTACTTCGTCTAGTAGTGCTTCGTGCGACGTTGCAACTCATCGCACCAACTTACATCATCCTAGTCCAGTTCAACCAGACCACGATCTCGGTCTGCAAGCCGTCCCAACCTCTCCCGAATCTAGCCCGCCGCCTCCCACGACCAATCGCCGTGGTCGGGAGGTGCGTAAGCCCGTCCGCTTCTCCGACTATGTACAGTGTAAATACTTTTAACTTTGTAGATATTGTATATATTTGCCTCATTTTTGGTCGATTAACGTTTTGAAAACAAACAAAAATATCAAAAACCCCCGAAAAACCTTTTTCGAAAAAAATATTCAAAAACCAAAAAATATTTAAACACGCAGCTCATTCGTTTGTTCTTTTTGGCGTTTTCTGCGCGTGTTTTTCTATTTTCTCGTCTTTACATGCCCCAACCCTCCCCTTCGATCGACTGGCCCACACGAGGAATGTTTTCGAGGACCCTGACGCGAACACTGGTCGCTTCTCCGCGGGACGAGGATCGCTTCTTCGCGGGACGAGGATCGCTTCTCCGCGAGACGAGGGTCGCTTCTCCGTGGGACGATGGTCGTTTTCTTCGTGGGACGAGGGTCGTTATGGCGCGGGGCGGGGTGCGGCGGGGGGAGAGACCACTCCCAAGCGCACCGTTTGGCAGCAGCGGAGGTTGAGGTCCTGTCGGCCTTTTTCTGGACTAGCCAGTTTTTTGTAGTCCGACAAGCCCGCTCCAACGGCTCGCCGAAATGCACCCTGCCCTGCATTCAATAAATAACGAATCATAAACGGCACAGCGGACTCCGACTTCTGATGAACCCCCATTTACACGAACGCACGCCCATTTTTACTCGGCACGATTTCGCCTCACGAACCCCGTTTCAACATTCCTTTTCGATTTCGAAGGCTTTCTATGTTCAGCCTTCTAGGGGGGGAGCTCTGTAGCGCCCAAAAAGATAACTCTGATCTTTCGTGTACAATTTACTTGTTGACCGATTGTACATTACTCCTTCTTGTTTTAATCTTACAACCGGCTCGACACACAACTGCCTTGTAAGTTCCCGCGCTCACGTGTACGCTCTTGCCTCGCTTCATCCGTCCGTTTCTTGTTGTAGTCCCATCGAATACAGTCCGCTGTGTCCGACTCCAATTGCCTTCTGATATCCGCGCTTAATTCCGCGCACCGTCTCGGACTAGTATTAACTAGTCCTACAGGCCTAGTACCTTGGATAAAATTCGTTCCGACATGCAGCGCTGACTTGTTTGATACTAGATGTTATTGAGGAAAGCTATAACCTCGGATCTCGTTACGCTTCAGGTCTGTTTCGGTACTTTGTTTTTGATAGATATAATGCGAGAATACAATCTCACACAGATAAGTTGTGACAAATGGGAGAAGCACAGCGATAGCTGTCTACCATGACAAGGTACACATCGTTCGCTTTGCATCAGAAATCGCACAGACAGTCTGTGAAAAGTTTTTTGAAAGGAAGAGTGTTAGGTCATCTCCATGCATTTTGTATGCATGGCCGGATACGTTTCTCGGTTCTGCTGTCAGCGCATTACGATAACTAGCGATGTAAGATGCTTCCGTAGCCTTTCTTACAGTCTGCGACGCTCTAAGCATGTACGTTTGGGTGTTCATTATTTCATCTCGCATGCGCTGTAAGTACCTTTTTCTGTCTTTACAGTCCGTATGCATTTTTCAAAATGCCGCTGCATTTTAATAGGCACCATGTTCAGAAGAACTTTGTTACACAAGTCACCTTGTGGACAATTATTGGACTCTATAAATCCAAAACGAAGAGAAAGGTTGTTGTATTTCCGCCTCTTACCCACTGGTACAGGGGATCCGGTTGGCACAGACTTATATTGCATCACATCAGGTAGTACAGAAACATCGCACGTCTTAGTTGCTGCATGCTCAGAAGGCACATTGGATGGCCCAACTACTACTACATCTGAATTCAACGAAGAATATTCCTGTGAAACATTTAGCAGTATTCCATTCTTCATTTCATGGTCTCTGTTGATGTTACATGTCTAACTACCACAATGGAGATAAATAAGTAGGCACAAGAGTCCAAAACACACCAGGAATTTTGTTACTATGATAAGTTGCACTTTGAATGAAGTATCGTAGTGAACGAAAGTGCCACCCTTTTGTAACATCGCTGATGTAGTTTCCCTCGAGTTCGCATAATCGGCTGAGCACATTCGTTAAACACAGAAATATCCACGCTTTCCTGCTGAGCTTCTATTGAAGCGATCCCGCGAACGGGTCTCCCTTCCGGTTTGCTGATTTTTGGAGAATAGTAACACTTGAAATGACCGCAAACTTGAGCCCTATCATATGGCATACTTCTCGCTGCCCCTCCACGGACGGAGACTGGGTTATGTGAGCTTGAGCGGACGTAGAATGACCCATCTAGCCACTGCCCATGGCATCACAGTGAAATTAACACACGAACTTTCTGAACTTGGAAAGTCTCGTTCGCTCACATTTTAACACCCAGCCAAAACAACCTTCCTCCTTGGAAGAGGTATGTTTGCATGGGCAATGCACAAGGCTATAATGTAAACCGCTAGGTTTAATTTAAAAATTTTTACAACGCATTTGTCATACATTTGTGACATAGAGTGATCGCATCCATAAAATTTCCTAATAGAAGTATAACACTGGGAGATCACGCGAATTCCCTGAACGTAGCCCACGTACCCCCTGGGCATCCGCGGACAATCCTTTTGAGAAACAGTACTATAGAGATTGTTATACTCATAAATTATGCGCATTCAGACATGAAGAGAACAATTGTGAAGAAATTTCTGTTATGGTTTCGGCTAACCTACCGATGACCTGCTGCTAGCGTGCACTCTGATCAGCCCGACTTCCCAAAGCAGGAGACCGGCGTGCGGCTGGCAAGTCTATATTTCTTAACGTCCAAACTAACGGTACATTCAATTTATGGCCAAATCAATAGCCCTCAGCGTAAAACGCCCTCATTGGCTGGTTCCGTCCCATTAACACCTTCCCCCGCAAAAGTTGACATAAGACTTCATTTTTGGATCCAACTGCATTCTTACGACAGGTCTCCGTAGTCGATCAGTACAGCGCCGGGTCTGGACCTTCGGTTCCTCTGAGACTTCTGTGCGGGATGCATCCGAATTGCTTTGGGGATTAGATGGCATGTCGAAACTCTCTAGTAGAATATCTAACGGTAGTAACCGAGCGCTTGTGCCCGCAGGAATGCTAGTTGGTCGCAGCTGATTAGAATGCCTGGTCGAAATCAAATTACCCACGTTAACCTCATATAGCACCTGTCCAATATTTCTCCGTATCGATCCTACCACCCATTGCGGGTTTCCCGCGCGATAGTCTCTTACTCAGACACGCTGTCCGGGGTAAAAGCGGCGTGCTTGAGTTCTGTGTCGCTTGTTGTAGTACTGCTCCATCCGAACGTTCCTTTCTTGCTCATTAGTACACATCGGAGTTAGCAGGGAATTCACAGCACGGAGTGTTCTTCCCATTAGTGCTTCTGCCGGCGACAACTGGTTTGGTACTTGGGGATTTGAAGTTGATCTGTACACGAGCAAAAATGTATCAAGTATCTCCAGTGTGGTTCCTTCCCACCGCATCTTTAGTAGCGATCGCTTAAACGTGTCGACGAAGCACTCTGCTTGTCCATTTGACTGAGGGTGAAACGGTGGCGACCGTAGATGCGTGATACCATGCTGTGCGCAGTATTCGGCAAATTGGGAAGAAGTGAACTGAGAACCATTGTCAGTGACCAAGGTTTCTGGTATTCCGTGTTGACTGAAAAGTCTCCTCAAAATGTTAATTGTTGCACCACTTGTCGCACGCTCCATACAGAAGACCTCAGGCCATTTACTATAGGAATCAACAACTATTAGGTACTGCTGACCGTTTAGGGGACCAAAGAAATCAGCGTGCACGCGTTCCCACGGTTTTGTTGCCAACGGCCAGGAAGCTAAGTCAGCTTTTCTCGGTGCCTTACTAGCAAGCGCGCATCTGGGACATGACTTTACTAGTTGCTCGAGTTCCGAATCAATGTTTGGCCAGTAGACAAAACTCCGAGCAATGCTTTTCATTCTGTTAAGTCCAGGATGTGCCCGATGAAATTGCTGAAGGACTCTTTGGCGAAGTTCTTTGGGTATGACAATTCTCTCGGCCAAAAGTAAACACCCATTTACGATCGAAAGTTCGTCCTTTCTCCGAGAGAGAATTTGTAGCTCTCCGGATAGAGTATCACTTGGCCACTGCGTAGTGTGAAATTTGATTACCTGGCGCAAGAGGGGATCTCGCACAGTTGCGTCACGTACCATGTCGAACGTCACGGGAAGCTTCCTAAAATTCTCCATCAAGACCTGGTTGACCTCTGATTCAAGGGAGATTGCTGCAATTATACATTCTTCCTGCTGATGCTGTTGTAGCTCCAATAACAGGGAAAGTGCGTCTGCTTGACCTATGTCCTTTGTAGCCGTGTACTTCACCGCAAAATCATAGGCGAGTAAGGCCGTGGCCCAACGCTGAAGTCTGTTCGCGGTATAAACGGGTATACCGGACTTTGATCCAAATATGGCTAGGAGTGGTTTATGGTCGGTAAGCAGGGTAAACCTCCTGCCATACAACATTTTGTGAAATTTCTTTATTGCAAAGACTATCGCTAATGCCCGGCTGGCTTGCCGAACAACCTCCTCGTGGTGCCAGCTGGGTGGTTTGGGATTTTCCCGTTCCAGCAAATGGTTCGGCGGCAGTGTTCCAGGACGTGGTGGGTTTTCGCCTGGCAAGCGTTCTCCCTATAAAAAGCCACATATGTCCGTTTAACAACACTGTGACGTGGCGGATGTGACTCGCCACTAAATAAAGTCACTGCCCCTTGCTTCATTCTGGCGAAGCATTGTATTCCAGCAACCTTATGCTGTACTTCTGGGGAGCATTGGGCCCCTGTTTGACAAAGGAACAAACAAAAGGCGTATGAACTGAGCAATCAGTCACCGGCTCCCAATGGGCGCGATTCCCTGAATTCGCTCCGCTGCCTTGCGGGCAGGCTATTCAGCCAAAGGCTCGGGGTGGTGTCCCCTAAGTCAACACCCTACTTCGGCTTGGGCAACCGGGTAGTATCTCGCCCTCTGAGGAAACCGTGGACATTGTTGTGTTGTGTTTTGTTTTACTGTTTCTGTACCTTCGTTTGAATCCCATGGTTTCTGATGGCATTATGTCTGTTAACAGACTTTTGCAAATATATATATATATATATATATATATATATATATATATATATATATATATATCGCTAATGCCTCTTTCTCTATCTGCCCGTAATTCTTTTCGGCTGGCGACAGTGATCGAGCTGCGTGTGCGATCGCTTTTTCCGATCCGTCAGCAAACTTATGAGAGATAACTGCACCCACGCCATACTTCGAAGCGTCTGCCGCCACCACGATTTCAAGTGTAGGGTCGTAATGTGTCAGCATAAGGTCAGAACACAGCATTCGCTTCACCTCCTCAAAGGACTTCTGACAATCTTCGGACCAGTGCCAACGTTTGTCCTTGGTGAGTAACTCATTGAGTGGTCCACGCACGCTGTGCATATGTGGCAGAAATTGACTGTAATGACTGACGAGTCCTAAGAAGGACCTCAGAGTAGGCACATCTTTGGGAGGTGGCATCTTTTTTATAGCATCAATGTTTGACGGATCTGGACGTCTACCGTTCTTGTCAATTATGAAGCAAAGAAAATTAATGGAGTCCATGAAAAACGTGCACTTTTCTGGGCGAAGTCTAAATCCGTACTCTTGTATACGATCAAGTACTAAGTGCAGCTTTCTAAAAAGGTCATCTGGGTTAGTTCCGACGACAATGATATCGTCCAAATATGCGGCAGCACCATCTACATCTGTTAGCATAGTATCCATGATTTGCTGAAAAATTGCTGGCGCGGACTTAACTCCGAATGGAAGTCCATGATACTGCTACAAACCTCGGTGCGTATTTATCGTCAGTAATTCTCTAGAAGCTTCATCAACTTCTATTTGTAAGTACGCATCCGATAGATCTAGCTTGGCAAAACACTGACTCCCATTTAGTTTCGAGAACAAATCATCTGGGACTGGCAGGGGATACTGATGCGTGTTTAACGCTTCATTCAGCCCAGTAGAAAAGTCGGCACATATTCGGATCTGGCCGTTCGGCT